TCCCAGTATGATAATGTACTGCTTGATAGGTCTAGTCATTGAATAACAAGTATCTGAGGACTCACCAAGTACCAAGCACTGCTTTATGTAGTAGGGATGCAGCCATCATCCAGTCTTTTCTCACATGAGGTAACTAAGGGCCATGCCAAACATTAGGTAAGTGACTTCCCCTAAACACTGAAAACTGTGTGTTTGTGCATGTGAGCATGAGCACACATGTGTATACATGCACCTGTGCATGTGGAATCTACAAAATGACAAAATGTTTCTTAGTACATCAAATGTCTCAGGGAACAAAGATTAGCTACTTTAGATTTCTTAAGAATGAAATGTGATGGGTTTTGCAGCTAGAGAATAGAAATTACAGCAAAGAAAAATAAACATGCCCAAGTTTCAAGAGGGGTCGGGAGGATAGTTTAATTCAATATCCTTGCCATGATTTTTCCTCAAATGATCCTCAGGATTCTCAAAATGACAGTTTGTGAAACAGAAGGACTGAGGATTCTTTTTCATACTTTCCAATTTCTACAGAACTATGATTGCATCCTAACCCACATGTGTCACGGAGCAAGCCTCCTAATGCAATTAGGCCAGTGAGCCACTTGCCCGCAATTACCCCTTGCATCCTACCGAGGCCATGTGATGAATCAGACAAGAGCTCCCCAAGGGGCCACAGAACCATATCAATGAGCTCATGAAACATACCCAAACATATGCACACAAATGCGTTCAAACGTGTGTGCATGTATGTAGGTAAGTAGATGGTAGATAGTTTCTCTCTACTTAAAGGGGCCCAAAACTAGATCAGAGGTCAAAATCTATTTCCTTGTTTTCTCTGGAATGAATCAAACTTCCTCACATACCAAGAACACTATTTTCCACTGCCTGAAAGAGGTTATATCCCCCATGAAATACTATATTGATGACACACCTATATGTGTTGTAACCTGCCCTCCCCCACTACAAACTGCCATCTCCCTACCTAAATAAAAGCTTTCTCCTACTCTAGCAGGCTAAGGTATGTCATTTAGATTTTTAAAATTGACTTCCTGAGCTATATGCTACAGACAATACTGTGTGATTCAATTTATAAAGGAACAAAAGCCTGGCAAAATTAATCTGTCAGAACTCAGGAATTTGGTTACATTTAATGAGGGATTAGTACTAGGAAGTTGCAGGAGAGGGGGATAGGGTGATAGTAATATTCTGCTTATTGATCAATGTACTGATTACATCAGTATGCACCCTATGAAAAAGCAGCAAGCTGGACACTTAATACACACTATACTGTAAATATAGTGAGCTTTAATTTCTTTTAAACTGGTTTCCCAGCAATTTGTGGTTTACTACTAAATAACATTTACCTCTGCCTGAATCATTAATTAGAAATTATTCAGCGCTATCAAGTTTCTCTAGTGAACTACTAGTTCAATAAATATAAATAATTAACAAATAAATTTATAGACTGTATCAGTCTTTCCTAATATATCGTTAGTCAAACAGCACCTCCAGGCAGTTAGATAAACCACTTTTAGATTGATGAGCTATTGAAAAAAAAATGTATTGAAGTGAATTTTACCAAGTCTATACGACAGTAGTCCCTTTTCAAATGAGAATTTATTACTGTGGATAAGATTTCCTGAAATATGACATTTTAAGTCCCCTCAACAGTGTTAGACCACTGACTATAAATGACAGCTAGACTTGGCTATCACAAACCTCAAAGGTCAAAATCGCTATGGGCTTTTATTTTTTCCTTTCTTAAACTTGAGTGTGGTAAATAAAATCACAATAGTGAAGAGAAATAAAACAGGAGTATTATAAATCTCCAAAAATACAATGGAAGAACCACAGGAGCACCCATGCTAGACTGCTGACTCTCCACCTTCAAGCCAAAATTAAGTACACTTGCACTGTTCTCTTCCCTACAAAAAGAACTACTTGAGTAAATTTATACTAGCAAATGGTCTGGACCAAAGTCCAATCCTGGTCTTCTTAGAAGAAAAAAGTTCCAATGCTATTGAAAACATCAACGCGACATATCTTGTTGTATGAATATACCTTTGGTGGGATGGGTCATCCCAAATCATCTTTGGAAATCCATATTGAAGTGTTGGGGTAGCTGATAAATTAGGTTAAGTAATTAAAAATGTGACCACTTTCTTTGCCCTACTTGTGCCAGAGCTGGTTAAAAAAAAAAAAAAAAAAATTCCCTTCAAGGGCCTGGAGAGATAGCTCATGAAGCAAGTTCAGTTCCCAGTACCTACATGGTGGCTAACAACTGTCTGTAACTCCAGTTCTAGGGGATCCAAACACCCTCTTCTGGCCTCCTTGGGCATTGTACACATGGGTGCCCTTAGATACATTCAGGCAAAAACTCATACACACAAAATAGAAATAAATAAAAATTTAAAAAATTAAATTAAATTAAAAAGCCTTTCAAAAGATAGGTAACTGGGTGGAATCAGTTACCACAAACAACAAATGTCTCTTCACAGACACTATTTCCCAGTCACCATCCTCCCTTTTCTGCTCTTGCCACTTAAGCTCCAAGACTGGGGAAGAGATTCTACAACACTAAGCCTTGAATAAGGAGATCCTGACACATGCTGACTTACAGCATACTGCATATATAAATGGTTTACAGCTCTACTGTGTTATAAAAGTGAAATGAATTCAGGAGAAACTATATGTCTCTTCTGTCCTCTGCAGGCATTGCACGACAAAGGTGCACTTACCTACATGCAGGCATAACACTCATACACATAAAATAATGAATATTTTTTAAAAAGAAGAAACTATATGATTGTGAATTTTGATCCTTTTCCAGACTAACACTGCAGAGCATGATGGAGTCTCTCTCTCAAGGATGCAGCAGTATCAAGCCACACCTCTTATCACCAGTGAACAATCACCACTCAACAGCTGCACTGTGAGGCTGTGCTATTATATTCTGTAAGTTGGATAGTATTAGAAGCACTTTTGACATAATGTTTCCAACTTATAAACTTAGAAACATAATCCCATCATATGTCAAAGCGCATCTGTACCACACCTCTGCATGTGGATATTGGTTTCACCCACTAGTTAACAAGTGTGGGCCTCACTGCGCATTGTAGCTGATAGCTGTAGTCCAGGTTTCTTCAGCTTCAGGGTCCTCATCTCCGTCACAGACACACCTGCAGCCTACCCCATCCTGTGACTGTGAGACTCAGATGAGAAAGTGCACATCAAGAAATTAACACTATGCTTGGAATTTGTAAGTGGTCAATAACTTATGACCATGATTGCAGCAGTAATGATAAAACGTTTCTCTTTAAAAAGAAAAAATAAAAGGGGGGGGGTGGAGAGATGGCTCAGTTGTTAGAGCACTGGCTGCTCTCGCTGAGGACTCAGGTTCAATTCCCAACACTGACATGCTGGCTAACAATCTTCCATAACTCCAGTTCCAGGAGATCTGACATCCTCTTCTGACCTCCTCGGGCACTGCCAGACACAGGTGTACTCACATACATGTAGGCAATATGTTCATACACATAAAATAAAAATAAATTAATTTTTAAAAATTGACCTTACAGCCTGGTATGATGGCACATACCTGTAATCCTAGCACTAGAGAGGTAAAGGCAGGAGGATCGGAAGTTCAAGGTCATCCTTGGCTACATAATGAGTTCCAAGCCAACCTGGGTTACATGAGACCCTGTCTCAAACAGATTTTACAATATTGCTTGGAAAGTACAGAATTTACAGTGACTATTTTTCTGCCAAATGAAGATTATCTTTTAAATTAATTTAAATAAAATGTGTGCTGGGGCTGGAGAGATGGCTCAGAGGTTAAGAATTGCTGCTTTTGCAGACGACCCTGGTTCGATTCCCAGCACCCACAAGGTGGCTAACAACCATCTGTAACTCCAGTTCCAGGGGATCTGATGCCCTCTTCTGTCTTCCTTGGGCAGCACTTACACACATGCAGGCAATACATTCATACACATAAAATAAAAAATAATATAAAAAAAAGTGTTACAGGATTTTGATTGTGGCCTGGCTTCTTGCCAGATGACTATTTGTGTGTGCATTCAGACCAAAATACTATTATAAACTACTTCAAAACAAATAACCACTGACAGGGTTGGAGAGATGGCTCAACAGTGAAGAGCACTGGCTTCTCTTGCAGAAGACCTGGGTTCAGTTCCCAGCAACCACATGGCAGCTAACAACCTTCTGTAACTCCAGTTCCAGGGGATGGGACACCCTCTTCTGACCTTCGTGGGCATTGCATGACACTGGTGCACTTTCAAAGATACAGGCAATACACTCATTCACATAATATCAAAATAATAAAAAAATTATTTTTAAAAAAGACCACTGACTTTGAAATAGCCTGTTACAAATCACTTATATTCTGAAATTTAGTCTTCTCATCCAAAAAAATGGGGATAATTAATAGCCCCAAACATTTGCTATTACTCAAGTATTATTGATGTTGTTTGCGAAAGACCTTAATAACATCTTGCACATTAGAAGATGATTATTTTCAAGCACATGGAATAAGTCACCAAAGGGTGTACACAAAGCAGAAAAACTTTTTAAGAGAAAAATTTCCATCTCTTCATTTTTCTCTTCTTCCTAGCTTTCCTACAGCTTGCCTTCAATTCTAGTCCAATGTCCTATTTAGGCTACAGAAGCTAATGGTTTGACTTGATGAACCTCCTGACTGCCCATCAAACCATCACCCTCCAAGTGCATACCAGTGGCGTGTAGAAAGACACTAATAAATTGGTGTTTGATTTAGTCCAATTGCCAGGAGAATGTTGATACCACTATAATTTAGCCTAAGCAAAATGGGACCCTCCCCCGGAAAGCGGAAAAGAAGACTAGAAATGATTCCAGACTATGAATTATTTTAACCACCAATTAGAAAACTTGCAGAAACAATTATTTTGTTTAGCTTACTTCCTTCACTGTGTTGGATAAGAGAGACATCTGAGAATGAGGCTTACCTATTTGCACCATTTCTTCAGTAGCAGCCTGGAAAGGAGGGGTGGGGAGTAAGAAGAAGAAGAAGAAAAAAGTTACTGGGTTTCATCTTATCACCCCTTGCCGTTTATTTCTAACCATCAATGCTTTTCAGGAGCAGGCTAATCAGGAGACCAACAGACTGGGATTGTTGCCTAAAGGCTGAACCTTAGTTCCTGGAAGGTCCTTGTGACAGAAGCAAGAGCCAATTCAATGACGATTTGAGAAAGGGACTTGCTGGCCAGTTTTAATTTTAGTATTTGTGAAGCCAGTAAAATAAACACTGATCCTCAACGGTCTCTTTTGAAAACTCCAGTACTGGGTCGCGTTAGGAAAAGAAAGTCTACATTTCACCAGGTGAAAAGCAGCCTAAGAGAGGGCCTGATTCATGAGAACCAAATGGAGAAAACCCCACTTTACCCTGCGGTCAGAAAAGGCAGACCAAAGGAGCTACAAAAACTCACAGAGCAATGCTGTACAGAGTCACCCAGCCCTGAGCCCAAGTGATTTACTACAAATGGCTCTGCGGGCTGAGCTTCCTTCAAGGACTCTTCTGGGTGCATCGGCTTTACCTTGAGTCTCCAAAGGGTGGGGGCAGGGCCGAAAAGCAACAGAGCTGCACTCAATTTAGCTTTAGAAAGAGGAGGAGTTGGGGGGCGGGGGTGGAGGCGGCGGGCGCCTGCAGACTCCGCCAGGGAAAAGGCTAGGGCAGGAAACGTCCCGGCCCTCCCCAACTGTCAAACTGCAGCCGGGCCTCGGTCCTCCCAGGACACGTGTCTGCTGGGTCCTGCCCCGGGACTTCCTGAACCCCTGCCTCTGCTGCCCCCTACCACCGGGGCTCAAGAGGAGGCAGAGCCCCGTGGACCCGACTCCCGCTGCGGCCACCCGGTCTCCGAGACCCGCGTCCCAACTTCACCGGAGCGCCGGGGGCGCCCTCCTGGAGGGGCCAGCCCGACGGCCCCGCGAGGATGCGATCTGGCTGCAGCCTGCCTCTGGGCATAGTTCCGCATGGCCCGGGCGAGGGAAGCCCAGGTGTGACGCTCCCGGGGGACCGGAGTCCAGACCTCCCGGGTGGGAGATGCGTTCCCTGCCTCCCCCCCGCCCCTCCACGCGCCGCCTCGGGAGGCAGAAGATGCCCGGGAAGGGTGGCAGGGGGAGGAAGGGAAAGCAGAGAGGACGGAGGGGAGGAACTGTGTCGGGGAAAGGTTGAGTTTTTATTATTCTTATTTTCCACTTACTTGTCCATCAGCTGACGTCCTAACCTCTACCAGAGAGGCTGCTATCAACCAAAGTGACAGGAGAACCATCACGAGTCGAGTGCACTTCTCAACTCCTGGGCAAAGCAGATATCCCAGCGCAAGCCACCCTCAAAATAAGTTTTTTAAAAATCGAAAAGAAAATGGAAGAATGGGGGGGAAATGCTGAGCTTTAAAAAAATCCTCTTGTGCTTTGCCTCGGTGAAAACGAAATGTGAGCCTTGCGCTGGCCCCTCGCCTCGGCGGTCCTCCCCACTTCACCTTCTCACCCCGCTCTCCCCAAGCGACTGTGCGCAGAGACAAGGTGCTGGGAGCCGGCACCCCGGAGCGGGGGAAGGGACCTGGGCTTCCTACTGCCTCTGCCCCGAGCGCCTTTGGTGAGGCTCCCCGAGCACCGTGGGTCGCAAAGGTCAGGCGCGGAGCTGGCCGGGTCCCCGGGAGCACCAAGGCAGGGGGAAGCGGGAGCCCAGTGAGCGGGAGAAAGAGGTAGCGCGAGCCGGAGCCTCCGCCGCACACGCAGTGGGGGCGGGAGGAGCGAGGGGAGGAGGCGGCGGCAGAGGAGGAGGGAGGAGTGGGAGCTCGCCCGCTCCGGTTGCTCGCGGCCAGGGCCGTCTGCTCGCTGCCCGCGACCCGCGGGGCGCTAATAAGGCGGCCGCCTCCCTACTCTGTCCCTCCCGCCGCGCGCCCACGTCACTCGGGGCCCGCGCCCCCGACGCAGGGTCAGGACTCGCACCCGCCCCGGGCTGCAGCAGCCCCGGCTCGACCTCGCATCCCTGGAGTCTCCGAGATGGGACGAGGGGCGGGGAGGGTCCTGGCGCGCCACTGGTGGCGACCGGAGGAGGAAAGGGGAGGGTCCACCGGCCAGACCTGGGCTGGAGGAAATTCACCTCCTCCAGCCTCCCCTACACTCCCAGGCAGGGGAAAGTCTCAGCAGAGGAGCCCAAGGACGCAGGGACTTTCCCTCCAGACACCAGTCTCCTCCCACGCTTGGAGGGGCGGGGGGCACCCTCTCCAGCCTCCCCTACACTTCCAGGCAGGGGAAAGTCTCAGCAGAGGAGCCCAAGGACGCAGGGACTTTTCCCTCCAGACACCAGTCTCCTCCCACGCTTGGAGGGGCGGGGGGCACCCTCTCCTTAAGCTCTTGTTTACGCTGTATTCGTTTATATTAGTTTTAAAAGATACCGCGTCCCCTTTCTTGACTCAGCCGGATGCTTCCGTTTATCACTAGAGTACACAGGCCTCAGGGTCTCTTGCTTACACCAAGATTAAGTTATCAAGTGATTTCTGCGGTTTGCAGTTTCCTGAGAGGAAATGACAGCAACCTGAGAGTTGCTAGTGTAGACCTCAGTGCTGGGGTAGACCCCTGTGGTCATTGCCCAGGAGCAGAGAGGAGGGGCCTCGCGGGACCACACTCATCCAGGATCAGCCCCTGAGATAAGTGAGGCACAAATTTAGGTGTGATTTTCAAGACTTCGCCTGAAAATAAGTGTTGGGGAGGGGGCGGTTCTTGCTGAAGCAGGCATGCTATTTTGCCCAGCGCAGTCATAAACTGTTTATTCCTAGAGAGCTAAAGGAAAGCCTTCAACTTTCACATCGCAGTGTTCACTGCTGTGTTGGCAATGTCTTCTCAAAATCATGTAAGAAATAGGTTTACATTTAAAAATGAGAAGTGGCCTCATCTAGTAACACAGTTATTAGGTTAATTACTTATTACTTAGAAATAGGATTAGACCCCAGAACAGAAGGCTCTCTACTTTCCCCCTTCAAATTACACGTGTACTACATAATGGTTGTGAACAGTCACTGACTTGCTGTCTAGGAATGCTTTCCTGAATTTTGCACCTTTCTTATTCACTAAAAGCAAATAACCCTAAACATTGTATAAATAAAAGATGGTGTCATTGTACACTGGCAGATAAAAGTAAAGTTCAAGCAGACCTGGGTTCTAGAACCCTCTGCCCTCTCAACAGCGGTCTGACTTTGACAAGCCCTACAACTCTGTTTTGGTTTCTTCACTGGGTAGTTCAGCTCTGAAATCTTCTGATCTAAAGTAGTAACAAATGATGTGTCTGCCCACGATGCTACAGTGGGCTTTCTTGTGCCCATTTTACAACACTCACACATTTGTTATCACTTCATCCCTGGCACAAGAAGAGATTCAGGTAACTTTCAGGAAAAGAAGCTCCAAAAAGTTTGGCCTTGAAAAGTGTCCTTACAAACATTTTACATTGTCACTCATTAAAAATTCCATTATTTGGTACTTGCCTGTTCTGCCTACAACACCCTGATATTTTCTTCTTATTCACTTTCCTTTTCCAAGTTCTGGTAAGAATGCACTTGATTTTACAACCTAGTGAGTCACAGTGCTCACTCTGACAAATACTGATTTAAACGCATGCTGTAAAGTATTTCTGATTCTAAGGTGAGTTCTGATTAATAAGGTTCTCCCAATATAATCTCAGCCAGAGCTTCAGAAAGCATTCCCGCTTGTTTTCATGGGGGTGGTCTACCCATCAACCGAAGTTTGTGAAATGCACATATAAAGAAAATTAATGGGTTGTTCCCAATGCATGCTTCACAGGGACTTCAATATTACAAATGTACTCTGAGCCTCCAAGAGAAGATGTCTGCAATGCAGTTTGATTCCACACTTCTGCCTCCATAGACTTCTCCTTTTCTTGTCCTTTATCTGTGAAACACATCAGGGGAAACAACATTACAAACCCAAATATTACAATAACTCTTAAAGCGGGGTGCAGTGGCACATGCCTTTAATCCCAGTATTTGGGAAGTAGAGGCAGGTGGATCTCTATGAGACTGAGGCCAGCCTGGTCTACATAATGAGTCCAGGCCAGCTGTGGCTACAGGGAGACTCTGTCTCAAAAAGATAATAAATAAATAAATAAATAAATAAATAAATAAATAAATAAATAAATAATTGAACTGCATGGGTTGGATTTGCATGCAGACTGAGCCTTAGTGTTCTCAACTAAGATCAATTTAACAATACTACTTTTGTAAAACGTCCATGAAAATTGCACGACTTTACTTGGAAATTGCCTATCTAGAACATAGTGAGGACTTACATTTGAATTCCTGTAGCAGACGTACCTGGCTCACCTGACTTGGTGAATTCCTTTTACCAGCTGACCCCTTTTGTCTGCCTGGAGTCAACACCCTCCCCTTCATGTTTCTCTGATAGAGCTACAGTATTGTTTCCCACCTAGTCTCCTATCCAAGTAGCCAAGAACACGGTTATTGGGAGATCTTATAAGTAGCCACAAAATTACTGAGCATTTTGTGGTATGTTTTCTTTCAAAATACATTTTCATGCGTAATTTCAAAAGTAATCCCTTACCTCACCAATTTCTATCATATGGCAATTAGAGAGTCCTTTCTATACTCTGAACATGTCCAACCAAAAGTGTACCTTATTTTCTCTGCCCTCTGTAAAGCTGTACTTCAGTGTTTAGGATTTTTGACACCCGGCCTCAATCATCTCCTGCAATGGTTCATTTTAATTACTGTCTTGACACAATGTAGAATTACCTGGGAAGAAAGTATCAGTGAGTGACTATCCAGATTAGGCTGGCCTGCAGACATGTCTGTTCATTATTGTGGGAAAGCTCAACCCACTGTGTGGCATCATTCCCTGGGTTTGAATCCTGGACTGTGTAAGGGTAGAAACAGTAAGCTAAGTAGAAGGCATGCGTGCATACATTCCTCTGCTCTTGACTGAGGATGTGATGTGACTAGTTAAATCCAAGTTCCTACTGTCTTGATTTCCCCATGATGACGGACTGTAACCTGGGACTTCCTTGTTATGATGGACTGTACCCAAGGACTGTGAGCTAAAACAAACCCTTCCGCTCCTAATTTGCTTATTGTCAGGGTATGTTATCACAGCAACAGAATTAAAACTAGGACATCCATCCCTTTTTAATTTTTAATTAATTTATTTATTTATTCTCATTTACCTGAGGTTTGACTTTCCAAGATTTCAGTTACCCATGGTCAACCTTGGTATGGAAATATTAAGTAGAAATTCTAGAAATAAACAATTTCTAAGTTTTAGGTAACCTTTAATGAATATAGTCCATTGCCACAGTTGTTCTATTATTAGTTATTAGTAGTCTTCCCCTGTGCCTAGCTTATATTTCCCACAACACAAAACACAAAAATGTATAATTTATAAATTTCTTTTTAGAATTTTTTTTTACTTTTGGCTGTGTATTTTCTCACATTTTTAATATATCTCATAACCTATCGATACTCATTTGATGGCAACGGTCAAGAAGTTTCAGATGGAAAAGCTCAATATAACATTGGTCCTGAAGTCTTTTCCTTAGAGGAAAATCAGAATAGTTCAAGGATAAATTTGGTTATCTGGGATATCTTAAATCATCTGTGTTTAGAAGAATAGTTCCACCATGGAACAAGTCCAGAGGGAAGATCATTCCTCCTGTTCCTTGACTTTCCTCCTCCTTCTTGAGTTGGAATTCTTCCTTGCACCCTTAGCTATGATTAGCACCATAAGCATATCTCCTTCCTTGATAAGATTTCCTATAACAATATATTAGTTGTTCATATTCAACAATATATTTAGCTGTTCATATCCATATAATATCAATTAGAAGAACAGGTATTACTGTCTACCTACTGTTTTTAGAGGATTTATTTCTTTAAACCTTCAAAAATAATTTTTTCTTGGAATTTATAAATGGTAATGGAAGATCAGACTCTCCTCTTCCTAGGGCCTTAAACAGAAAGAAAAAGGAAATTAAAATGTAAAAATCCTTCAAATGTTCCTTATAAGGGTCACAAGCCTAATGGCTATAAACTATGTTAATAGAAAAACATTTAGAATTATTGTCAGATTGTTTGCATTTATGTCATCATTTTTTCTTGATAGTTCAAAGAAATCTAATAGCGTATAATGCTAGAGAACATAAATGTATTTAGAACTATCAAATTAGCAGTCATATTTCCCTAAAGAGGGCAGGATTCAAAGTCAGAAACACAACTAGTACTTTCTTTCTACATAGTAGACCATTCCACAAAATATGATGAATTCATTATGTCACTAACCACATCTACTATGTTTATGTAA